GGGCCTTTATTCGTGCTCTTACGCTGACAGATGTGAAGTGTTTGCAAAGCGTGGCTCATTTTGAGTGATTTTAGGGAGGCGATTTGTATTTAGTTTTTTTTTAGATAATAATGGTATACTTAAGAACTACTAGTTTTAGGAGACACATATACTTTTTAGAAATGAAACAAATTCATTTGCTAAGTCTCAAGCACAAGAAACATATTGAAATGATAATAAAGGCATTCGCTTTTGGCGCTTACAGCAATGCTTGTTGTTGTTGCGGCGGCACTACTAACAGCGCGGTTACCCACGAACGTGTACGTGGCGTAGCGTAGAAGTATGTAGAAAGATATCAAGTTTGATGTTGATAGAAATAGAGAGAAGCAACGTCTACGTCACGGTCATGCGGTGGTGGGTTTTTGTTAACACGCAGATCTCATAAGATAGATCGCTTCAGCTGATATGTTCTGCGTTTTTACGTCGGTGCGTAACTGTGCTTTTAGTCCTGTCTAATTCGGTCAGTCTGTCTGTCAATCGTTGACGCAAGTACAACTGAAGTTAGGACCAGGAAACGTGCTGTTTCAAGGGGGTGAGGCCTAAAGTACCAGGTGTTATAGCTGAGTGGATTTAAGGGGCCTAGGACATTAGGGAACTATTTAGATTAGCCGTCGTCAGTTGGACTCATAAAGTTTTGAACGGTAAGCCTAAACAGATCTGGGCAATATGAGTACTTAGTAGAAAATTTTGAGCTAGCCCCTCCTCATCATTCTCCATGAAACTGATTGAACTGTGATTTTTAGTCGCTCCGCGTTATTTCCGATTGGACGATGATTTTTTAGACAGCACAAACAGCCGCCTAGATCTTTATCCACATACCCTGCAATTACGTTTTCACTAATTTTCGTCCAACGTTAGCTGATAATGGTTGACCTGCACATGAGGAGAGGGATTTCTCGAGATCGCCTATTAAGAGCTCAAAACGCTTATTGTAAGGAAAGAAAGCGGTAGAAACAGCCATGCAAGGAAGGTCGGTAGGTCGCCCCGCCTTCCACCATATCGATGAGGCTTTTGATTGTTAAAAATATCCTGCCGGAAGCAATTGTTAAGTGCTTAGATAAGCTTGGAATGGAAGTCAGCCTCATTCGGCTTATACAAAACTTGCCTCGTGACAGAACTGTCATAGCAGCGCTTATTTACATTGCAGGCATCTTCTCACCAAAAAAGGAGCCATTATTGAAGGAGTAAATATCATACTATTCAAAAAAAAAAATGCTCGCTAGGCACAAGGGCTCAATGCAATTTTAGATTTTTCAGCTTTCAAGCAGAGCGATTATGGAGACAATAAAACAGTATTTCAGCAAAAAAAAAAGAAACGTATAACTCTAATCATAAACAATGTATCTTCACACCTTGTCAATATGTGCATGAAAGTGTGTTTTAAAAAATATGTATCTAACTTTAGCTTTATTTTTTTTTTTTTAAATAGGTCTTTATATTCAGTCAGTGTGCGGCAACAAGTCAGACAAAAAACTGATCAAGCAATTAAGTTTTATTGTTTTGCATATCTTCCCTGCTATTTTTTTCTTCTTTTTTTTTTTGGTCGACGCAGTTGTTTACAAACAAATTCCGCTCATCTGATTTTTATGTCTGTCGGTTATTTGAACATTTTCGCAAACGAAGCGCTGTTTTTCAGATCACACATGTTTTCGAATGCATTTATATTTGTTATTTGCTTATAGTATGTTTGCAGAGGCGCCTTTGCGCGCTTTTGTATTAAAGGCTTTAGCTCTGTTACTCACCTTCCAGCCGGCACTGCTATTCGAATCGCCTTTATCCTTAAAATATGGCACATTCTGCACCATCCATTCGTAGATTTGACTAAGCGTTAGCCGTTTGTCGGTCGCCGAACCAATGGCGTGCGTTATCAAATCCGCATACGACAAATTGCCCCACGCATTGCGACGCGATGAATTTTTTTTCGCTGTACTCATATTTTGTACGGCCTGTTGCGAATCTGAAAATCAACGATTTGTTTTTAATAACCATTTTAAAAAGGTAGTAAATATTTGGCAAGAGATGCAAGCATGTTTTTTGTTTACACTTGCACATACATATATGCATACATATGTATTTATGTATGTAATTGTTTACATTGTCATATTTTTGTGTATAGTTTTTTATACTCAATACTAGTATGTTGCTTATATTATATTTCAGGAAATTATTTTTTAATGGTAGGGGCTTGTTTTAACTGTGCCAGTTTCAATGGCGTTTGTCGTCAAATGCCAGATAACTGTGTTGACCAAATATTGTACTTGAAAACAAGTAATTTTTAAAGCCCTGTATGCAGCTCTCAAGAAAACGGTCAAGAAAAAATTGCCATTATTTCGCGTGTGTGTCCAAGGAATTTTGACATATTTGATACTTCACAGCCTGTTGCCTCACTCTTTCCTCAAGAAATAATGGAACGGGCATATATTTCTGTTGCAAACCTGGGTTGCCTTGTGCTCTTTTTTCACAAAAAACTTTAGAAACCCGTAGTAGAAAGCGTAGCAAATTTCTTAAGAACTGCGTACTGCCTTAAGGAAATTTGACTCAAGAAAATTTCTTAGCCATTTCTTGTACGTCATTTTATATGGAGTTTTTGCTTTTCTTGAGAGCTGCATACAGGCCTTAAGAAGAAAAAAGTACAACCGACTTCAACGTGCGTATAAAAAGTAAGGAGTACGGTTTATTTCTTCATGTCTAAGAGATCGGAACAACAACGAAATTGATTGGTCGCCACACTTGAAGTGCCACCAACCCGATAAAAAGGGATCACCGAAAACGATTCCAGTGGACCAAGGTTATTCAGTATCTTACATAAAAAGAGAATATATTCGAATGGATGAAGTGTTATATGTATCATGTTGGGCAACACATTCACAAAGAATGTGTTCTGGCTTTTCTTCGTTCAGGTGCACAGAAAAAACAGACGCTCGTGTCCGAAAGGTTAATTTTACTGAGGAGATTACGCAGGCAACAACAATGTCCCATAAATTTATAAGCTTTCTTGAAACTTCTTGTAATGGCCCCCTAAGCTTGTCTTTGCTTTGAGCTTTCACTTCAGTACCCGTGCAGTTTTTTGTCTACCTACTTTTTTATAACAACCCTTGTGTGTGCTTTTATGTGCACACAAAAGGGTTCCGGCCCATGGAATACGGGATAGCTCCGCGTTTCGCTTGGCGGTCCGATCACCAGATCGTAAGCTTTAGCCAGACTGATTCGTCACGTATTCTGTTGTAGCACTATGGTCAAAGCCGCGGTTTCTATGTCAAATGGGTAATGAGTATGTATATTTGTAGTAGGGTGGTCCAAATAAAGCAAAGTCGGAATTTTAATGCTCACACCCCCTAGGATTGTATATCGATTTTTGTTTTATCAAAAAATATTGTGAGATCGCTTAAAAAAATTAAACTCTGTTTCTCTTCATTTATTTAACCATTTTTTAATATTAACTATTTTTTATGGGTACCCCGAAAACCCCAAAAGAAAGCAATAGTACTTTCAAAATTGTACTTAAGCAATTACGTATTATACTTTGAAGTCTCCTGACGAGAAACAGAGTCTGCAAAGATTCTATACCATTTCTACGAAAAAGTTATTTTTATATAAAATAAATGGGTAATATTTTTCGATTAAAAAATACTATGTAGAATAAATCTGGGAATTGATAGTGTTCTGGGCACAGAGAGTTATTTAATACGTTATCTGAACAATACCCCTTGTGTTTGGTCCCTAATGAAGAACAGATGCTTTGAGTATCTTAAGGAAGAAAGTACGGAGCTTTACTACATGGGAGCAATGGATAGATTCAGACACTATTTTTGGGAGCTTGATAAAGACTTTCTACATATATTGACGGCTCAAGACGGACAACCACAATTCCGTTTCATTCCATCCCATTAATGTACGGTGGCGAGGGCGTAGAAGGGCAACAGACATTTTGGCAAATTTTGGCTAATTTTCTTTGTCTAAAAAATGTTTATTCTTTTTTTATGGAAATACATGTAGCTTACTACCTAAAAAAAAACATGTAAATTAATATTTCAAACTTTGTAAATCAAAATGTTTATGTTTTTAATAAAATGTATTAGAATTTTTTGAGTATGCAGTTTTATTGGCCATTAGATTTGAGTATAACATAATGCAAGTAGCAGGACTTACCGTTGATGTTTGGCAATTTTTTTCACGCATTTTCTTCTATACAAATGGAAGAAGCGAGCAACACCTTCCACAAAAAAGGTTTCCAAAAAATCAAGAGTAAGTCCTAGATACTTAAAAGTTGCACCTTGTTATAGTAAAATTGAATAAGCTACAAAAGTGAATGCACTCAGATCGTTTCTATTTTGATCAAATCTTTTAAAATTTTGCAAATTTTTCTACAAAGTTTGAAATTTCGACTTACATGGTTTTTTGTTTGATAACAAGACTACACTTTCAAAAAAACGTTAATAATAATAAGCGTTTAATTAACGTAGGGAAAATAGCAAAAGAATGCTGCAATATCTCTTCCCCATTTATATTTTCGCCACTGTATGTCGAGGGCTTACATACGAATATATTTTAAATTATGTATTTTTTTTTCTCACCTCCACCCGCCAGCTGCTGATTACTCGCCTTCGTGCTATCCAAATCGTCTGACGGCTCCACAAAGTTCTCTGGCCGCGGACATGGCCAAGTATTCGATCTGGCACGAGTCTGCGGCTCAAAACCACCATCGCCCTGTAGTTCGCTGACTAGATCCATGTGCAGGGGAATATCTGTAGGCGGTGGTGTGGGCCAATCGTGCACGAAGCCCTCCATTATTGTAAACGGATCGTTTATGATGTGCAGTTTTGCTGTATTTATATAGGTGGTCGGATAGAAAATTGTTTGCGCAATTTTGGCGGATGCGTATAAGCTGGCGTTGTTTCTTTTTTCAAAATTTCTTAAGAGCGTTGCAGTACTGAAAAGCGAAAAAACAAATATTTTTAAAATTATTATTGGTTGTGGGAGGGTATGTTAAAAATAAAATATTTATTATATTTTATACGAGTAATGATTTATAAAAATAGTTCATATAAATTGAATACCAAAAAGCCTTAAAATCCGAGTAATTACTCAGAAATAAAACTTAATACATACTTAACATATGACCTCATTCGCAGAAGTGTAAATATGTGACTTTTGCATATTTTTTATTTGATATTTGTCTAAAAACTAATATAATTAAATTTTACGAATTTAAACTGATTATAATAGCACCATCCTCTATAATATATAGTCTCTATATGTATATACATACATTTATAAGCGTACGTAGAATATATTTTATTAATGTCATGGAAAATTTTTCGACAAGATTCAGATGATAAATGCAACGTAAATTTTAAAATCCGTAGTTGTTAAAACAACAACTAGTGATATGATCTATAAATAGCAAAGTAGGCATGCATGCATACATACTCTACTGTATGTGTATCAACAAAGAACTATATATGTACAATATTTGTTTGACCACTATAGACTATAGTAATTCGTATGGCAAAGCGGTGGATCAGGCCGCGGCATCGTCGCTAAAGCAGGGATCACAAAATTTGTACATATACACATGTGTTGTCTAGAGAATTTTGTCGAGAATTAGTTCAGCTCAATAACAATTTTCTAAACAATATTTCACTGTAACTGTGAAAATGTACAAATGTACAACACGTGTGATCCCTGCTTAAGAGCGATAAGGAACATAGATACCGATATTTTTCTACTCAATTAAATTTTAATCTAATCTTTTAATGATGTACAATTAGCAGATTAGTTTATTAAATTTTCGTTATTTCGAATGGCTAAAAGTTTAAAAAAGTTCCTAACGGCTGTTCTAATAATAATTTTAAGTTCACGCGGTGTGGCCACCAAAATAACAGATTGTATGAAGCTAATTGTTCTCAATTTCCCAAAAACTTTATTTTTAAAACAAGGTGTTAGTACAAAAGCAAAAACTTACATGTATTTTGTTTTTTCTTTCGGTACACAAATATCAAATTGCAGCTATTCTTCGCTCAAGTAAGAATAGGGAAAGAAAATTTTAACACTCTCACTTTTTCGCTTACTCATAAGAATCAAATCAGCTGGTCTAGCAACACCGCCTTGTATAAATTCGTCTTGATCTTCATACAAACTAGTACTGTGCAATTTTCGAATTAAAACTTCTTTAGAATTAAAACTGTTTGCATTTTTATTGACACTGAATTAAAGGAATGAATGTGATGCAGCGGATAAGATTTAGATTTCGATTAGTACAAGAAGAGAAAGGTTAAGATGAATATGTAGACGAAGGAAAGAATAAAGGCTAAGTGAAAATAAAGATATTTTAAGACAAAAGGCAAATATTCAGGTAACTTTAAATACATAATTGGGGTATACACAACGGTGTCGTAAGTGTCGTATTGTCGTGAAATTTAAACGCCTAAAAAATATATTAAGGGGGTTCGTAAAGTATCACCAAAGTCATATTTTGCGTTTTCGTAGTGTTAAAGAATAGTTTGTTTTGGTTTCAAGTTCTCTAAATATTTATTTGAGCTTTTAAAGTTTACGACATACCACAATACAACACTTACGACACCGTTGTGAGTCCCTCAAATATAAAGACAAAGGGTGAAGGGCAATATGTATATAGATGCAGGAGTTAATAACGAAAAGGATAAGAAAAAATATGTGGATAAATATAAAGAATAAAAGATTAATATAAAAAAAATGATAGAGATAGAGATAGAGATAGAGATAGAGATAGAGATAGAGATAG